TCGGAAAATTGAAAAATGGAAAAATCCAGAATTCGAGATATCGAAAAATAGTGATGAAACCGAAACATTGAAAAATCGAAAAGCCTAATACCAAAAACTGAAAAATTGAAAATTTGAAACCTCGTGAAGACGAAACATCTGAAAATTAAAAAAATCGAAAAATTAAAATTGAATTCATCAAAAAATGAATAATTGAGAAATCGAAACGTGAAAACATCGACAAATTGGAAAATCGAGAAATCGAAAAGTCGAAAAATTGATAAATTAAAATACCAAAAATTCGAAAATTTAAAAATTGAGCTCTAATCAAAAGATCAAAAAATCGAAAAATCGGAAATTTGAAAAATCGAGAAGTCGACAAATCGAGCAATTGAAAAATAAAAAAATCTCAAATACAAAAAATTGAATACTGAAAAATTGAAAATCTGAAAAATCGAGTTATCAAAAGTTCTAAAATTTAAAAATTTAAAAGTAAAAACTCGAAAAATTGAGAAATTGAAAATTTGAAAACTTGAGATATCGAAAATTTGAAAAATTGAGATATCGAAAATTTGAAAAATTGAGATATCAAAAAATCCGAAAGTTAAGGAATCCAAAGATCTAAACATTGAAAAGCCGACAAAATCGAAAAATCGAGAAATCGAAAAATTAAAATTGAATTCAGTCAAAAAATAAAAAATCAAAAATTGAAACATCGAGATATCTTAACATCAATAAATTGAAAAATTGGGAAATTGAAAAATCAAAAAGTCGAAAAATCGAGAAATCGAAAAGTCGAAAAATCGATAAATTAAAATATCTAAAATTCGAAAATTTAAAAATTGAGCTCTAATCAAAAGATCAAAAATTCGAAAATTCGGGAATTTGAAAAATCGAGAAGTCGACAAATCGAGCAATTGAAAAATCATAAAATCTCAAATACAAAAAATTAAATACTGAAAAATCGAAAATTTTAAAAATCGAGTTATAAAAAGTTCTAAAATTTAAAAATTGAAAACTAAAAAGTCGAAAAATTGAAAAATCGAAAATTTGAAAACTTGAAATACCGAAAATTTGAAAAATTGAGATATCGAAAATTTTAAAAATTGAGATATCGAAAATTTTAAAAATTGAGATATCGAAAATTTGAAAAATTGAGATATCGAAAATTTAAAAAATTGAGATATCAAAAAATCCGAAAGTTAAGGAATCCAAAGATCTAACCATTGAAAAGCCGACAAAATCGAAAAATCGGGAAATCGAAAAGTCGAAAAATCGATAAATCGAAAAATTAAAATGAATTTAGTCAAAAAATGAAAAATCAAAAATTGAAACATCGAGATATCGAAACATCAAAAAATTGAAAAATCGAAAAATCCAGAAATCGAGAGATCGAAAAATTGTAAATTCGAAAGGTCGCGAAATTTAAACATTGAAAATCCGACAAAATCGAGAAATTGACATTTCAGAAAATTGAAAACTTGAGAAAAATTGAAAAATTGAGAAATCGAAAATGTGAAAAATCGGGATATCGAAAATTGAAATTCAAACATCGAAAAAATGATAAATTCAAAATATCAAGAATCGGAAAATTAAAAAATCGAAAAATCCAGAAACTTAGACAACGAAAAATCGTGAAGTCGCAAAATCGAAAAGTTGAGAAATCGAAAAATTAAAATTGAATTCATCAAAAAATGAAAAATGGAAAAACTGAGAAATCAAAACGTCAAAAAATCGAAAAACTATAATCACAAAAATTCGAAAATTTAAAAATTGAACTCTAAAAACTCGAAAAATTGAGAAACCGAAAATTTGAAAAATCGAGATACCGAAAAATTGAAACATTGAAACATAGAAAAGTCGAAAAATAGAAAAATTAAAATTGAATTCAATCAAAAAATTAAAACCGAAAAATTGAAAGATCGAGAAATGAAAAAAATCAAGAAATCGGAAAATGGGAAATTGAAAAAAAGAAAAGTCGAAAAATCGATAAACTGAAAAATCCAAAAATCTCAAATACAAAAAATTGAATACTGAAAAATCGAAAATTTGAAAAATCGAGATATCAAAAATTCGAAAATTTAAAAATTGAAAACTAAAAACTCGAAAAATTGAGAAATCGAAAATTTGAAAAATGGAGATATCGAAAAATCCGAAAGTCAAGGAATCGAAAAATCTAAACATTGAAAAGCCGAAAAAATCGAAAAATTGAAACATCGAAAAGTCGAAAAATCGATAAATCGAAAAATTAAAATTGAATTCAGTCAAAAAATAAACAATCGAACATTGAAACATCGAGAAATCGAAATATCAAAAAAACAGAAAAATTGGGAAATTGAAAAATCAAAAAGTCGAAAAATCGAGAAATTGAAAAAGTAAAAAAATTGCAATATCAAAAATTCGAAAATTTAAAAATTGAAAACTAAAAACTCGAAAAATTGGGAAATCGAAAATTTGAAAAATTGGGATATCAAAAAATCCGATAGTCAAGGAATCCAAAAATCTAAACATCGAAAACCCAACAAAATCGAAAAATTGAAACATCGAAAAGTCGAAAAATCGAGATATCCAAAAATAAAAAATGGAGATCAAAGAATTGAGAAATCGAAATATCGAAAAATCGTGAAATCCAAACATCGATAAATTGATACATTCAAGATTTAAAGAATCATAAAATTGAAAAATCGAAGAATCCAGAAATAGAGACATCGAAAAATTGTAAATTCGAAAAGTCGAGAAATTGAAACATTGAAAAACTGACAAAATCGAAACATTGAAACATCGAAAAATTGGGAAATCTAGAAATTGAAAAGTCGAAAAATCAAGAAATTGATATTTCAAAAAATTGAAAACCAAAAAATCGAAAATGTGAAAAATCGGGATATCGAAAAGTCGAAAAATGGAGAAATCGAAAAGGCGAAAAACCGTTAAATCGAAATATCGTAACACTGAAAAATTTAAAATTTAAAATCAAAAAATCCAGATATATATTTCCAAAAAAATTTGAGAAATCGAAACATTGAAAAAATCCGAAAATCGATAAATCGAAACCTCGAAAAATCAAGTAATCGAGACATCGAATAATCGAGGCATCGAAAAATCGAGAATTTTAAAATGTAATTTAATCAAAAAGTGGAAAAACAAGAAATATAAAAATCAATGGGAAAGTGCAAAAATCGGAAATTTAATTATCGAAAAATCAAAGAATTAAAGAAATCGAAACACTAAAAAATCAGAAAGTCGAGAAACAGAAACATCGAAAAATTCCGAAATTGATAGAAAAATTTAGAAATCGATATCGAAAAACCGAAAAATCGGAAATTCGGGAAATCGAAAATTTAATTTTGTCGAAAAATCGAAACATCAAAAAGTCGAAAAATCCAGATAATATAAAAAGTCGAAAAATCGAGATTCGATGAATTGAAGATTTAAAAAACCGAAAAATATCGAAAAATTAAAAATTGAAAAAATCAAAAACTTGGAAAATCTAAAATTTACCTGAAAATCGAAAAATTGAACAATCAAAAAATCGAAAAATCAAAAGCAGAGATCGAAAAATCTAAAAATTGAGAAATCGAAAAATCAAACTAAAAGTCGAAAATTTAATTTAACCGAAAAGTCGAAAAAGGGAGACATCGAAACATGGACAAATCAAATAATCAAAACATTATTATATAAAACATCGAAAAGTCAAATAAAAATCAAGACAGAAAAAACGAATAAATGCGACATCGAAAAATCCAGAATTTGAAAAATTGAAATTAATTTAATCGAAAAACAGGAAATCGAAAAGCTGAAACATTGAAAAGCCGAGAAATCGAAAATTTAATTTTATCGAAAATTCGAAAAATCGAAAAAGTAAAAAAATCGAAGCAGTGAAAAATCAAAAATTGAATTTTTTTTTGAAATCGATTTCGAAAAACCAAAACATCAAAAATTCGGGAAAACGAAAATTTAGTTCAATCGAAAAATCGGAATATCGAGAATTCGAAAAAATAAAAAATCGAGAGATCGAAAAACTGAGAAATCGAAATATAGGAAAATCGTAAAATTCAAAAATTCAAAATTTAAAAAATCGGAAAGTTCAAAAATCGAAAAATCCAGAAATCGAGATATCTCAAAGTCGTGAAGTCGACACACAGAAAACACGACAAAATCGAAAAAATTGAAAAATCGAAAATTCAAGAAATCAAAAAATTAAAATTGATTCAATCAAAAAATAAAAAACTGAAAAATCAAGAAATCGAAAAATTGGGAAATCGAGAAATCGAAACGTCGAAAAATCGAGAAATTAACATAACAAAAAATCGAAAAATCAAAAATTTTAAAATTCAGTATCGAAAAGTCGAAAAATGGAAAAATCAAAATGTCGAAAAATCGTGAAATCGAAACATCCTAAAATTTAAAATGCAAAAATAGAATAATTGAAAAATTTTAAAATCCAGAAATCGAGACATGGAAAATTCGAGAAATCGATTGCAATAATCAATCAAAAATCCGAAAATCTAAATTTAATTTTATCAAAAAATTGAAACGAATAAATAAATCGAAAAATTAACAAATCGAAAAACCGAAACAGCCAAAAAATTGAAAAACCAAAAATATTAAAAACTGAAAAATGGAAGTCAAGAAAATGATAAATTGAAATTTTCCAAAGCTAAAATATAGAAAAGATGAAAAATCGAAAAACCTAGTTAAGAAATAAAAAAATCGAAAAAATGAGAAATCGTAAGGTCGAACAGTGGAAAAGTGGAAAAATCGTAAATTCGAAAATGAAAAAATCGAAAAATTAAAGAAAACAAAATTGAAAGATACCACTGAAACATTGGGAAATCGAAAAACTGAACAATCAAGATTGGTTGAAACTGTAATTCGTATTCCATACCATGTGAAGTGAACGCCGTACTTTACAAATTAGACTACTAGATTCCCATTAATGGATTATTTCAATATTTAATTATTTTAAGACAATGTCAACAGCAAACAATCCAAAAAAGTAAAAACATTTTACTAAAACAAAACGTATATTTAACAAATATTGCACGAGTTTTGTGAAATAAAGTCACAACTTCTATAGGGGAAGAATAAAAAAATTTCCACTTTTCACAAATTTTTAACAAATCTCCAACGAATGCATTTTCTCTTCATGTATTTTCAAATACCACTTCATTTTACTTTTATACGAACACGACTTACACTCATACCATTTAACCTCCGGCCCATCCAAATGCCTCGAATGTACATGCTTTTTCAAATTACACTTATCCTTAGCTTTATACAAACACATCTCGCAATTGTGCCATTTAATATCCTGCTTACGCACGTGCCGCGAATTCACATGCCTTTTTAAATCCGACGGCGTCTTAGCTTTGTACGCACACTCCTTACACTCGTGCCATTTAATATCCTGTTCTTTCAAATGCCGCGCATTTATGTGATTTTTCAAATGCGAATTAGTTTTAGTCCTGTAGGGGCAATCCCTACACTCGTACCATTTAACATCGCCGTCGTCCAAATGCTGTACCATAACGTGTTTCTTCAAGTCCGAGTTCTTCTTGGCACGGTATTGGCACTGGTCACACTCGTACCATTTAATATCTTTCTCGTCCAAGTGCCGCATTATGATGTGTCTGTTCAGCGACGACCGGTGTTTGGCTTTAAACGGACACTCTTTACACACGTGCCATTTAACATCGGTGTCTAGATGCTGCGAGTTGATGTGGCTTTTTAAATTGTAGACGAGTTTGGTTTTGTATGAACAACTCTGGCACTGGTGCCATTTAATATTAGTTTCGTCTAGGTGCTGCAAATTCACGTGTTTTTTCAAATCCGCGTGCCGTTTGGCTTTGTACGGACAGTCCTGGCACTGGTGCCATTTAATGTCTTTTTCGTCTGAGTGCCGCTCGCTCATGTGGCGGTTCAGCGACGATTTGCGCTTGGCTTTGAATGAACACTTGGCACACTTGTACCATTTAACGTGGTCTTTATCCAAATGGCGACAGTTAATGTGGCTTTTTAAGTTACACATTAGTTTAGCTTTGTATGGACAATACTCACACTGGTGCCATTTGACGTTGTGGCTTTTCAACTGGACGCTGTCTTCGCTTCTGAAACATGCCACGGTGTGCCGGAACCACTTCATGGCAACGTGAGTTTCGTATGTGCACTTCTCACAGGTGTACCACTGGATTTGGCACTTGAGTTTTTTGAGCTGGGTGTGTTTTCGGGTGATGTGTCTCTTGAGGAAGATAGTGAGTTTGGTGGAAAAGTCGCAGAATTTGCACCAGAAGGTCTCGATGTTGCTATTTTCACAATTGAAGGGGGCGGGAGATGGGGGGCGGCGTTCGACGTGGCTGGACATGAGTTATGGGTTCAGTTATCCATAAATAACATTGTGATTTATCTACAAATGGGATTTTAGTGTAGATTAAGTGGTAGAGGAAGGACTCACTTCATGTTGATGCAAAATCACCCACATTTTTTTATTTGTTAGTAAAGTGGTGACATAACCTCAAACGTCGGACGCTCGAGTGCCACAAAAGTGGCTTCGTTGTTTATACTGAGCGACCAAAGTGCTGCAAAAAGGCGATTTTTGAAAATTCTGCAACAGTCTCGTACAAATCGGCTTTTAAATTGGTTTTGAATGCACGTAAAAATATTAAAAACAAAGGTTTTGAGGTTATGTATACACCTGTGTATGTAGGGTTGCCTACCCGGGAAAAATATTTGCGGTAACGTTTATGAGTTTAAAAACAGGTTTAAAATCAAATTCAAATTCTCCAAATCCTCGAAACACAAAATCTACAAATCTTCAAATCATTAGTTCCGCAAAATACTCAAAGAATTTTTTGGGGGGTTTGATGATTTATTATTGTGATTTGAATATTTGGAGGATTTGAGGATTTCGAGGATTGGTGATTTGAGAATGAGGTTTTGAAGACTTAATAACATGAGGGTTTTGAGGATTTGGAGTTTAGAGGATTTGACGATTTTGAGGATTTGGTGTTATGAGAATTTGATGGTTTCCGGATTTTGAGGATTTTGTGATTTCAAGGACTTGATCATTTGAGATTTGAGGATTTGGTGATTTGCAAATTTTGAAGATTTGAGGGTTTCGGGGATTTGAAAGATTCGGTGATTTGAGAATTTTTAGAATTTGGCGATTTGAGGATCGAGAATTTCGATGATTTGATGTTGTGAAGATTTGGCGTTTTCAGAATTTCGAGGATTGGTGATTTGAGGATATGAAGATTTGAAGGATTTGGTAATTTGACGATTTTCAGGATTCGATGATTTGGGGATCTGATGATTGAAGATTTAAAGATTTTGTTTGGAGGATTTTGATGATTTGATGTTGTGAGGATTTGGCGTTTTGAAAATTTTGAGGATTTTGAGGATTTGAGAATTTCGAGGATTGGTCATTTGACGATACGAGGATTTGAAAGTTTTGGTGATTCTAAGGATTTGATAAATGGACGATTTTCAGGATTTTTAGGATTTGGTGATTTGACGATTTTGAGGGTTTGGTGATTTGACGATTTTGATGATTTGCTGCTTTCGTTATTTTGAAGATTTTAGGGTCTGGTGATTTAAGTATTTTGATGATTTTGTTTGGAGGAGTTGGTAATTTTCAGATTTTGAGGATTTGGGGATTTTGACGATTTGAAGAATTTGAGGATTTGGTATTTTAAGGACTTTGTGTTTTGGAGATTTGAAGAATTTGAGCATTTGGAGTTTCGAGGATTTTAATAATATAAAGATATCAGGATTTGAAGGATTTTATGTTTTGAGGATTTTGAAGATTGGAGATTTGAAGATATGATATGAGGATTTTGAAAGGGTTTTGGGATTCTAAGGATTTGGTAATTTAAGGTTAATTGAGGGTTTGGTGATTTGAGAATTTGGTGATTTGAGGGTTTTTGGTGATTTGCTCATTTGGAGATTTTGGAGATTTGAAGATCTGGTGATTTGAGGACCTTGAAGATTTGATGATTTTGTTTTGAGGAGTTTATGATTTGCGAACTTTGAGAATTTCGAAGTTTTTTGATTTGAGTATATGAGGGTTTGAAAGTTTTGGGAATTCTAAATATTTGGTAATTTGACGATTTTCAGGATTTTTAGGATTTGGTGATTTGACGAGTTTTAGGATTTCACGATTTGAAGATCCGAGGATTTTGATTTGATGTTGTGAGGATTTGGCGTTTTGAAGATTTTGAGGGTTTGATGATTTGAATATTTGGAGGATTTGAAAATTTCGAAGATTTGAAGGTTTTGGGGATTCTAAGGATTTGATAATTTGATGATTTTCAGTACTTCTAGGATTTGAGGATTTGATAATTTTGGGGGTTTGATGATTTGAAAATTTTAATGATTTGCTGATTTTGGGATTTTGAAGAATTGCGGATCTGGTGATTTGAAGGTTTTGTTTAGAGGAGTTGGTGATTTGCGGATTTTGAGGATTTGAAAAATTTGAGGATTTGGTATTTTGGGGATTTTGTGTTTTGAGGATTTGAAGATTTGACTTGAGGATTTGAGGATTTTGAAGATATAAGGATTTTAAAGATTGGACGATTTGAGAATCCGAGGATTTTGACGATTTGATCTTGTGAGGAATTGGCGTTTTAAATATTTTGAGGATTTGGTGATTGGAAAATTTGGAGAATTTGAGAATTTCGAGGAGTGGTGATTTGAGGATATGAGGATTTGAAGGTTTTGGAGATTCTAAGGATTTGATAATTTGACGATTTTCAGGATTTTTAGGATTCAGTGATTTGAGGATTATGAGCGTTTAGTGAGGATTTGATGATTTTGTTTGGAGGAGTTGGTGATTTGCGGATTTTGAGTATTTCGGCATTTTGAGTATTTGAAGAATTTGAGGATTTGGTATTTTAAGGATTTTGTTTTGAGTATTTGAAATTTTGAAGATTTGGTGACCTCAGGGTTTTGGGGATTGGAAGAATTTGAGTATTTGGGGTTTCGAGGATTTTAGTAATATGAAGATTTGAGGATTTGAAGATTTGAATATTTGGAGGATTTGAGAATTTCGAGGATTTGGCGATTTTAGGTGAGGGATTTGAGGATTTGGTGTTTGGAATGTTTTAAGGGATTGAGGATTTTGTGTTCTGAGTTTCTGAATTTTTTAATTTAGAGATTTTAAGGAGTTGAGATTTAAAGGATTTGGTAAGTTGAGGATTTTTAGGATTAGACGATTTGAGGATCCGAGGATTTTGATGATTTGATGTGAGGATTTGGTGGTTTGAGTATTTTGCGGAACCAATGATTTGAGAATCTGAAATTTTTGACGATTTTGTGATTTGAAGATTTTGATGATTTGCTGATTTGGGTATTTTGCAGATATGCGGATTTTAAGAATTTGAATAATTGGAGAATTTGAGAATTTCGAGGATTTGGTGATTTGTAGATTTTGACGAGTTGAGGGTTTCGAAAATTTTAAGGATTTGGTGATTTGAGGATTTGACGATTTGAGGATCCGAGGATTTTGATGATTTGATGTGAGGATTTGGTAGTTTGAGTATTGTGCGGAATTAATGACTTAAGAATCTGAGATTTTTGACGATTTTGTGATTTGAAGATTTTGATGATTTGCTGATTTGATGATTTGATGATTCTGAGAATTTGATAATTTTGAGGATTTGCTGTTTTGAACATTTGGAGATTTACGGATTTTGAAGATATGAGGATCTGAAAGGGTTTTGGGGATTCTAAGAATTTGCTAATTTGACAAATTTCAGGATTTTTAGGATTTGGTGATTTGCGAATTTTGATGATTTACTGATTTCGGGATTTTGATAATTTGAGGATCTTGTGATTTGAGAGTTTTGGGGATTTGAGGAGTTCGTAATCTGCGGATTTGGGAATTTAAGGATTTGTAGATTTTGAGGATACGAAGATTTTGTTGTTCGAGGATTTGGTGATTTGAAGGTTTTAAGGGATTGAGGATTGTCTGTTCAGAACTTTTTAAGTGTTTTGATTTGAAGATTTTAAGGAGTTGAGACTTTCGGAGATTTAAAGGATTTGGTAATTTGAGGATTTTTAGGATTAGACGATTTGAAGATCCGAGGATTTTGAAGATTTGATGTAAGGATTTGGTGGTTTGAACTACTAGTAAGGCCCCTTTAGAACACAACACGTTTTTAATGCTTTTAGCCTGGCTTTCAGAGTAACTTTTAAAAAGTTAATTTTTTTTAAGGAAATTGCCCGGTTTTTCAAAATCACCCTTTTTTAAAAAGTCAAAATTTTAAGAAATATATCCTGTTTTATCAAACGTGAATATAGTTTCGGCCAAGAAAAGTTACCATTTAAAAACACTTAAAATTCATCTTTTTCCCCTGTTTTTCTGTTGGGCCATTTCAGCACAAGTGAATACGATTTTGTCCAAACAAATTTCCCTTTCAAAAACACTCAAAATTAGAAATCTTGTTTTGTTTTAGTTTCAAAATATGTTTTTGCGTGAATTGTTGTAGCGATTTTGTTGTGTTTTCATGTTTTTGTTTTGTCGCTTTGGTGTGGATTGGGCATTACAGTTCGTTTTTTTATTAAAGATGCATTAATATGGCAACCTCCTTAAAAATAACAGTGGCAACATGGCTAGGGTACTTTTTTTTAAAGAACTTACTAAAGTTTGGTTAGGTTAAACAATTTGGATGCCGTCATTATATTGTTAAACTGACAAATGTTGATGACAATCAGTTATGCCAATTACCATATAATTATCTATAGTAAGATAATTTTGTATTAGACAACATAAAACAATTTTTCCTCGATCATTGATAATACTTATATTTTTTATCTGTTTATTTAGCGCAACGGACAACGATTTGCCGAACACAGAACAAAGACTACCGAATAAAGAAGTTTGCTACATTAATAACATATGCAACACAGTATACACATCTTAAAGTATGTGTTTAAATTTTAACTTGTTGGCAAAACTGAGTCACTATTTCTGCATTTGTATTTGTGTGTCAATAGCAAGATATAACCAGAGAACATAGAGAAGCGACATAGAGGCTGATTTTGCAAAACCACCCTTATTGACATTGGAGTCCTCAACCGCCAAAGGCAAGCGCCAAATTTAAATTGTCGATGCCAATAAAAACCTTGCTTCAGTATAATTGTAATTGAAGTGAAGGAAACAGTGAGCAGCTTGTAATATTCTGGTAAATCTAGTGACATTTTGTCGAAAATAAAATGCGTCGTTAAAAATATTATGACATTTCTTCTAAATAGCATGGCCGACTAGTATAAAGATTATGGCGTGTCCAAGAGGTACGATACGTGTTGCCATCTATTAATAATTACAGTTAATAATTTAGCAAAATTTTAATTTGACTTGACATTATGGGACTTCAAAACGTGTAATGGTGGTTTGTTTCGGTATGAATGCGTTTGTGCCTTTCAAAAGGTGTTAATAATTCTTTTGTCGTTTTTGAATTATTAATAGATGGCAGCACGTAATGTACCTTTGACATTCCTGTGGACAGGCCATAATCTTTATACTAGTCGGCCATGCTAAATAGTTACTTTTATCACAGTATACATACAGTAGAGACAGCTCGTCAAATATTGGAACAACGTGTCCTTACCTAACCGTTTTGATTAGGCGGGATTTTTGAAACGAAGTGGAATATTGGTTGCCTAAATTACAAATACAGCTCGTCCGTAAAACAATGTAAAAGGAATTGATATAAATATCGAATTGAATGAATCCAATTTTTGGAGTGTGGTACGAAGACTACGAAAAAATAGCATTTTGAACAATAAAAAAGAATTGTACTTATATTTATTTTATTCATTAATAAAAGTCTATCACTTTACCAAGTTAATTTCAACATAAACATATCAACTACCTATTTTGTCAATGCCTTCAATTTTCGCCAAGTGTGAACCGTTTGAAGAGTCAGAAAGTGAACGCTGTCGTTTTCATCTTCCCTGGGAAAAGTACTTTGATGTTTTTGGTTGAATTTTTGTTGTTAGTTAAATTAGTGAAGTGATTCTGAGAACCTTTTCATAGTAACATGGACTACAGTGGTAGATCACGTCGTGATTGCAGGCACAATGAAAAAACCTGCTTCAGGGGCTTCTTTAAATTTCCCTCGGAATCTGTAAGATAAGAAATAGAAAGAAGTATATTATTCTATAATCAATAAAAAATTATTTGGTACGCAATTTTTACAGCACAGTGAAAATTCCAATAGTTGTAATGATTTAGGATCTATTTTACTAGCAATTGAATCTAAAGAAAGTAACCAGTGTCAAATTATTAATACAGTTTTAAGCTGAACAACTTTTGCACATAAATCTGTGGAAGTAAATATGACAGACTACAGACACCTGGACATAGGGGAACAAAATTCTTTAAGTTATGTGTGTGGATACTTAATGAAGAAATGCTTGATGAAATATACCTGTGAAACATGTAGTTATTTTGCCATTGCACGTAATGTCATCATATATGATAAACTTCTCTGTCACTTCAACGCCTTTGATGATGTATGATTGTATTGGATGCAACTGTTGTACAATTCTGTTAAAAAGTACACACACACGTTACGATCTTGCAGTTAAAAATTTGCGATCGTGATGACAACATGTCTGACGAAATGACGAAAATGTACTTTTATAGCTGCTCTCACGGTTTGAATAACATACACTGTCGAGTCATGTCCACACATGATCAAATTTCCATCCAATACAACACGATTGTACTGCTGCAGACAGACTTGTTCACCAACCGTCCACATCCAACCGATTTGCTTGATCGCATACACAGACGTTCAAGACACTTCAATTTCGTCATATCCAAAACAATTGTACTGCGGCGTTGGAACGTGAGTAGCGAGCTTAAGATGCTACATGAAGCATCCACCTTTTATGTTGCAGCCCTAGAAAAACGATTTGCTTCCACAAGATTATTTATTCTATTTATTTGTTCGAACGCGCATTTTCTATTCAGTAAAAATAATAAATTACAGTTACAACCTTAGATCATATAATAAATAGATACCACCATGCCGTGTTCTTTCCCTAGCAGAGCCTGTGACGACATCCTCCTGTCACACATCTCTCTCGTGCATGGAGGGATTACAATGAAGCTATCCTTGCCTGATCACTATTTGAATTTTGCGCGCCTAAATTTTAGGAAGTATGTCTGAACTAACTTCGTACGAAAGATGTTGACAGCTTGATTTTATAAATAATTCACAGTAGATAATGAAACGAATACTAAATTATTGGGCAGCAATTGTGATCCTTTATGATTACATCACTTAAAATAGGATCTTTGTTCTAAATTCTAAAATTGTTTTTTGTACAACAACTCGAAAGAGAGGTTAGAAGAAACATCTGTCAAAAGCGATTTGTTGGGCTGGTGCGGTACAAGGATGGAAGTGAAATAGACATATACAGATGAAATGCATATAACAAAGATGAAGATGTGGTGATCACACAAGGATAGCATTATACTACTCCCCTTGACGTAGAAAACGACAACAGATAGCTTCATGTCTAGTCACAGCTTTCAGTTTGAGTATTGGTATCTATTTATTATATGATCTAAGGTTACAACATTAAATGCTAAACACATAAAATGTCAAATTTGAAGCACAATGTTGACATGGTGGTAATTTTTTTTTAGTAACAAGGTTTGCCACTACAGTTTCAAGCCAAAATTCAAGGTCATGTCCTTACCCAACGGTCGATTATTGTTGTTCTGGTCCGTTACGTGTATTTCTTATGGGGCTTTCAAAAGCTGTCCTTACTGTATGATATTCTGTGGTTGCACTCTGCTGTTAATTCCAGTTCTCATTTACTTAGCCGTTTGATTAATAAATCGTTAATTGTATTTATGGAATCAAGTGAAAATTAAATTCAGTGATTACCTATCACCCGGTGATCCAGCGCGTCCCCACCTATAATCGTGACGTAGCCCGACAGAAATCCGCTGTCTACTGATAAAACAGCAAAAATGGTATGTTCTTTTCTTTTTAATGTTTTTAGGAAAATGTGTTTTGTCTTTCGAATAGATTATCCACGATGAGCGTTTTAGAAGGGTTAACCATACGTTGTGAAGGGCAAGCTGAAGTGGAAGTTTGGATTACCAGGGGGTAGCAAGTTAAATTAGCGACCTTGAACCATAACAATAGTTGTTGTTCGCATTCAGAGAGGGCAGTCAATATAAATTGTGATAGAAATCTATTTTGTAATAAAATGAAATAAATATTTTAAAAGCAAAATTGTTAAATTTTATATATTGATTGTGTATTCTTGTACATTAAGCGTTTATTATTATTATTTCCTTAATAATCAAAGCCTTTTTGATTAGATGAGAAATAGTGAAACAGTTATTTTTAATTTGCGCTATTGGCAGCCATGTTGCACGCTCTTTTAAATTTGAATTACATTGTTGCAAAAAAAATCAGTATTTTAGTTTGGCTTTTCGATTTGTTAATTGTGTGCTATAAAGCTGCCGTTTTCACTGGTCTTGAGAAATTTTGTTTTAATAATTCAAAAATGGAGAAGGTAAGCGTTAAAATTAGTTTTAAGCATATATTTAACATGGAAAATGAAACATTTATAGGGTTCTTATCAATACCGAAAAAAATGTGCAGTTACTGGTTGTGGAAAGTGTTTTCAGACAGATCCTACAGTAAAATACTTTACATTTCCAAGGAATAAAGAACTTTTTAAGAAGTTTTTAAGATAGAATAATCGAGAAAACTATTAATTAATTTGATTTTCTATAGTAATAGTAGAATATTTTGACACCTTTTTTTGTGCTCTTTTATATACTTTTTAGATACATCTGTCTTACGACTGTTATTTTTATTTAATAAATTGTTTTGAACCTAGGCTTTGTTTTTTTATTGCTATGTCAAGAAGAAAATACTTTAGTTTTAGTACTTTACTATAATTTTTTACAGCTGTTTAATGCAGCAGTAGTGAAAACAAAATAAAATTTAAGAACAAAAATGGGCAGATGTTTTAAATCTGCGCGCTCTTAATATTAGTTCCAATTCGCAACGTCAGTTGGCGTGGAGTCTCGATATTTTACACTGAGTTGCGTCTCTGGATTGCGGTTTTGAAACGCGCGATCGCAATTGATGCTGCCGACCCCTACTACAATGGATGATTTTTTTATAAAGACACGGTAGCGGTACAGGAACTTGAAGGTCCAGAATTACGCCTTGAAGTATCCCTCAACCGTGAGATAAGAAAATTTGTTGTCAAATTTGGATCCCCAATAGTGAAGTTTAAGTTCCTAAGATTAATGACTCTGAGGTAAGAAAAATTTTTCTACTATTTAATTTATAACAGTCATAAGGGTTTCACAAGGAAAAATAATTTATTAATAAACAAAATAAATGTGAATTTAAAGTAGTAACTATTATAGTACGATATAATAAAAAAAAAACCTCGTCTAGTCATCCATGGATTTTTTTTTTCTAAATTATGGTGGCAATAGTGTGGTTTTCCATTAAGCGACATTATTTTGAGTATTTGCTTTAGTGCTATTCTTGTTTATGTTGTTTTTAATTAAATAATTTGGGAACGTTTGCAGGTTCGTTTATTATAACGTACACAACGTACATAACCTCAAATTAAAAACTGTCATTGTGACAAACAGCGCAGGTAGCGCCAACATATATATATTTTTAAAGAATTCCATGGCCCTCTAGACGAGGTTTTTTCTCGATAATACGGTACTAAAGATAACATTTTGCGTTTGTTATAATCCACGCAATATATATATTTTTTTCTAGACACGACGATGGGTTCCCGGCGCCGTTGCCCTCACCGGCATCGTCGATCACACCATCGCCGCCCTCATCAAAGTCTTCGATGAATTAAATTTATATTATGTAACTAAAAATAAATAATTAAGTAAAGTTTGTTGGAATTTTATAATTATTTATTATAGGAACCACCATGAAGACTTTGCCTGAATTTGTTTGGCCAAAATCATATTATTTTAAGACCCACCACTGACCCGGAAATGACCGGCATTCAGGCAAGACTTCTATCATTACGGGTACTAAGACCAAGTAATGATATGCATTGATTAGATTAACAGAACAACTTTCGAGATTCTAGAATTACAGCATACAAATTAGTCTGCTATTATTCTCTAATCTCACCCCATCCCCAAAAGTCCAGCGTAACTACCGACCATTTATCCGCGCATCACATGAAAAGTGACCTACACTACTCTGACCTACTGGTGCTAATCTAATCTGACTGACATGATCAGACTGTTCAAGAAACTTACGAACAATATGACATGTTCCTAACAAAACAGCTTTTTGAATTTTGACAATTATTGAATCATTCATTATTATTATTATTATTATTATTATTATTATTATTAGTATACTGCCCCTACAGACGAATCCAATTACTTATATTATTAAATTATTCATATGTGTGCTGAAGTGGCCTAACAAAAAACCAGTAAAAAGGCGAATTTTAACTTTTAACAAAGGTACGATGTGTTCTGAAGGGGTTTACTAGTAAAAAAGTCTTTAATACAGGGCAAGATTTCTAATTTTGAGTGCTTTTGAAAGGGAAATTCGTTTGGACAAAATCGAATTTAATTGTGCTGAAATGGCCCAACAGAAAAACAGGGGAAAAAGATGAATTTTAAGTGTTTTTAAATGGTAACTTTTATTGGCCGAACTATATTCACGTTTGATAAAACAGGATATATTTCTTAAAATTTTGACTTTTTAAAAAAGGGTGATTTTGAAAAACCGGGCAATTTCTTTAAAAAAATTTAACTTTTTAAAAGTTACTCTGAAAACCAGGCTAAAAGCATTAAAAACGTGTTGTGTTCTAAAGGGGCCTTACTAGTAGTTCAAACCACCAAATCCTCAAATCGTCTGATACTAAAAATCCTCAAATTACCAAATCCTTTAAATCTCCGAAAGTCTCAACTCCTTAAAATCTCCAAATCAAAACACTCAAAAGTTCAGAACAGAAAATCCGCAATCCCTTAAAACCTTCAAATCACCAAATCCTCGAACAACAAAATCTTCGTATCCTCAAAATCTACAAATTCTTAAATTCCCAAATCGGCAAATTACGAACTCCTCAAAACAAAATCGTCAAATCCCCAAAACTCTGAAATCACAAGATCTTCAAATCTCTAAAATCCCCAAATCAGTAAATCATCAAAATTCGCAAATCACCAAATCCTGAAATTTGTCAAATTAGCAAACTCTTAAAATCCCCAAAACCCTTTCAGATCCTCATATCTTCAAAATCCGTAAATCTCCAAATGTTCAAAACAGCAAATCCTCAAGATCATCAAATTCTCAAAATCCTCAAATCAGCAAATCATCAAAATCTTCAAATCACAAAATCGTCAAAAATCTCAGATTCTTAAGTCATTAATTCCGCACAATACTCAAACTACCAAATCCTCACATCAAATCATCAAAATCCTCGGATCCTCAAATCCTCAAATCACCAAAGGATTTGGTATTTTGGGGATTGTGTGTTTTGAGGATTTGAGGATTTTAAATCAAAAACTTGGAAAATCTAAAATTTACAAAGTCCAAAACTTGAAAAATCGAAAAATTGGAAAACCAAAAAATCGAAAAATCAAAAGCAGAGATCGAAAAATCTAAAAATTGAGAAATCGAAAAGTCGAGAAATCGGAACATCGAAAAATCAAATAATCAAAACCTTATTATTATATAAAACATCGAAAAGTCAAATAATCGAGACAGAAAAATCGAATAATCGCGACATCGAAAAATCGAGAATTAGAAAAATTGAAAATTTAATTTAATCGAAAAACGAGAAATCGAAAAGTTGAAACTTTGAAAAGCCGAGAAATCGAAAAATCAATCGGAAAGTCCAAAAATCGAAAATTTAATTCAATCGAAGAATCGAAATATTGAATAATCGAAAAAATCATAAATCGAGAGATCGAAAAACTAAGAAGTCGAAATGTCGAAAAATCCAAAAATCGAGATATCTTAAAGTCGTAAAGTCGAAACACTGAAAATCCAACAAAATCGAAAAAATTTAAACATCGAAAAATTGGAAAATCGAGAAATTGACATATTATCAAAAAATTGAAAAATAAAAAATTTGAAAAATCAAAATTTCGAAAAGTCAAAAAATGGAGAAATCAAAATGTCGAAAAATGGTGAAATCGAAAAATTCAAAAATGGAATAATTGAAAAATTAAAAAATCCAGAAATCGAGACATCGAAAATTCGTACTCGAGAAATCGAAACATTGAAAATTCGAGAAATCGGTTGCAATCATCGAAAAATCCGCAAATCGAGAAATCCAAATATTGAAAAGGAAAATAGAAGAGTTGAGAAATCGATATCGAAAAATTGAGAAACCGATATTGAAAAACCGAAAATTCGGAGAATCGAAAATTTAATTTAATCGCAACATCGACACTCGAAAAATTCAAATAAAAAGAAGTCAAAAAATCGAGATTTGTTGAACTGAAGAATTAAAATATCCAAAAATAGGAAATCGAAAAATCACAAAAACAGAAAATTGAGAAATCAAAAGAACAAGAACGAAAAATTGGGAGAAATAGAAAAATCTAAAATCTAAAAAGTGAAAAACTGGAAAATCAAAAATCGAGAAATCGAAAAACTGGAAAATCGAAAAGTTGCAAAATCGTGAAATCGAAATATCGAACACTCCGAGAAATTGAGATATCGAATAATCGAATAATTGGAAAATGAAAAAGTCGACAAATTGAGAAATTCAAAAGTTGGAAAATCGAATCGTCGAAAAGTGGAAAAATTGAAAATTTAATTTGATCGAAAAATTGAAACGTAGAAAAATGGAGAAATCGAAAAATTAAAAAATCGAAAAACCGAAACAGCAAAAAAATCGAAAAATTGAAAAACCCAAAATTTTAAAAACTGAAAAATTGAAGTCAAGAATACGATAAATTGAAATTTTCCAAAGCTGAAGTATAGAAAAAATAAAAAATCGATAAACCTAGTTATGAAATAACTAGATCATCAAATTCTCAAAATCCTCAAATCAGCAAATCATCAAAATCTTCAAATCACAAAATCGTCAAAAATCTCAGATTCTTAAGTCATTAATTCCGCACAATACTCAAACTACCAAATCCTCACATCAAATCATCAAAATCCTCGGATCCTCAAATCGTCAAATCCTCAAATCACCAAAGGATTTGGTATTTTGGGGATTTTGTGTTTTGAGGATTTAAAGATTTGACTTGGGGATTTGAGGATTTTGAATACATGAGGATTTTAAGGATTGGACGATTTGAGAATCCGAGGATTTTGATGATTTAATGTGAGGAGTTGTGTTTTGAAGATTTTGAAGATTTGGTGATTTAAATATTTGGAGCATTTGCAAATTTCAAAGACTAGTGATTTGAGGATATGAGGATTTGAAGGTTTTGGGGATTCTACGGATTTGGTAATTTCACGATTTTCAGAATTTTTTGGATTTGGGTATTTTGAGGATTCATATAAAGGATTTTAAGGATTTGATTATTTGGAGGATTTGAGAATTTCGAGGATTTGGCGATTTTAGGTTACGGACTTTGAGGATTTGGTGTTTTGAGGGTTTTAAGGGATTAAGGATTCTGTGTTCTGATCATTTGAGTATTTTGAGGGTTTGGTGATTTGGAGATTTTGAAAACTTGAGAGTTTCGGAAATTTTAAGGATATGATGATTTGAGGATTTTTAAGATTTGACGTTTTGAGGATCTGAGGATTTTGATGATTTGATCTTGTGAGGATTTGGCGTTTTAAATATTTTGAGGATTTGATGATTGGAAAATTTGGAGGATTTGAGAATTTCGAGGATTGGTGATTTGAGGATATGAGGATTTGAAGATTTTGGAGATTCTAAGGAAGATTTGAGGATTTTGAGCGTTTAGTGAGGATTTGATGATTTTGTTTGGAGGAGTTGGTGATTTGCGGATTTTGAGTATTTAGGCATTTTGAGTATTTGAAGAATTTGAGGATTTGGTATTTTAAGGATTTTGTTTTGAGTATTTGAAATTTTGAAGATTTGGTGACCTCAGGGTTTTGGGGATTGGAAGAATTTGAGTATTTGGGGTTTCGAGGATTTTAGTAAGATGAAGATTTGAGGATTTGAAGATTTGAATATTTGGAGGATTTGAGAATTTCGAGGATTTGGCGATTTTAGGTGAGGGATTTGAGGATTTGGTGTTTGGAATGTTTTAAGGGATTGAGCATTTTGTGTTCTGAGCTTTTGAGTTTTTTGATTTGGAGATTTTAAGGAGTTGAGACTTAAAGGATTTGGTAATTTGAGGATTTTTAGGATTAGACGATTTGAGGATCCGAGGATTTTGATGATTTGATGTGAGGATTTGGTGGTTTGAGTATTTTGCGGAACTAATGTTTTGAGAATCTGAGATTTTTGACGATTTCATGATTTGAAGATTTTGATTTTTGGGTGTCGAAGATATGCGGATTTTAAGAATTTGAATAATTGGAGAATTTGAGAATTTCAAGGATTTGGTGATTTGCAGATTTTGACGAGTTGAGGGTTTCGAAGATTTTAAGGATTTGGTGATTTGAGGATTTGACGATTTGAGAATCCGAGGATTTTGATGATTTGATGTGAGGATTTGGTAGTTTGAGTATTGTGCGGAATTAATGACTTAAGAATCTGAGATTTTTGACGATTTTGGGGATTTGAAAATTTGGTGATTTGAGAGTTTTGAGAATTTTATGATTTTTGAGGATTTAGTGTTTGACGGTCATTTACGAAATTTGAGGATTTGTAGATGTTGAGAATTTGGTGTTTCAAGGATTTGAAGATTTGATTTGCGCATTATGGTTTTGGGGATTTGAGGATTTTGCAGATTGGTGATTTGAAGTTAGGATATATGAGGATTTGAAAGGGTTTTGGGATTGTAAGGATTTGGTAGTTTGACGATTTTCAGGATTTTTAGGATTTGCTAATTTAAGGTTAATTGGGAGTTTCGGAGATTTTAAGGATTTGGTGATTTGAGGAGTTTTAGGATTTCACGATTTGAGTATCCGAGGATTTTGATTTGATGTTGTGAGGATTTGGCGTTTTGAAGATTTTGATGGTTTGAATATTTGGAGGATTTGAGAATTTCGAAGAATTGAGGGTTTTGGGGATTCTAAGGATTCAGGGATTTTTCAGGATTTTTAGAATTTGCTGATTTGGGGATTTTGGGGATCTGGTAATTTGAGGATTTGATGATTTTGTTTGGAGAAGTTGGTGATTTGAGGATTTGAAAAATTTGAGGATTTGGTATATTAAGTATTTTGTGTTTTGAGGGTCTGAAATTTTGAAGATTTGGTGACCTCAGGATTTTGGAGATTCGAAAAATTTGAGCAATATGAAGATTTCAGGATTTAAAGATTTGAGGATTTTGTGTTTTGGGGATTTGGTGACTTGCAGATTTTAAGGGGTTGAGGGAGGGTTTCGGAGATTTTTAGGGTTGACGATGTGAGGATCTGAGAATTTTGATGATTTGATCTTGTGAGGATTGGCGTTTTCAAGAATTTGAGGATTTGGTGATTTGAACATTTGGAGAATTTGAGATTTTCCAGGATTGGTCATTTCAGGATATGAGAAAGGTTTTGGGGATTCTAAGGATTTGGTAATTTGATTTCTTCTAAATAGTTACTTTTATTCCTAGTTAGAAACAAACACTGCTACCAACATAAATTGAGAAGTCCTCAACCGTCATTTGATTTAAACTATGACGCTTCTCTATGTTGTGATATAACGTGTGTTTTGTGGATATAACGCTGTTTGTGACAACCAGTACAAGCGCAGCCTATACAACATTGTGACAACTGATAATTAGTGATAAAACAGCAAAAATGGTATGTTCTTTTCTTCTTAATGTTTTTAGGAAAATGTGTTTTGTCTTTCGAATAGATTGTCCACGATGAGCGTTTTAGAAGGGTTAACCATACGTTGTGAAGGGCAAGCTGAAGTGGAAGTTTGGATTGCGGTTTTGAAACGCGCGATCGCAATTGATGCTGCCGACCCCTACTACAATGGATGATTTTTTTTATAAAGACACGGTAGCGGTACAGGAACTTGAAGGTCCAGAATTACGCCTTGAAGTATCCCTCAACCGTGAGATAAGAAAATTTGTAGTCAAATTTGGGTCCGAAGTAGTGAAGTTTCAGTTCCTAAGATTAATGACTCTGAGGTAAGAAAAATTTCTCTACTATTTGATTTATAACAGTCATAAGGGTTTCACAAGGAAAAATAATTTATTAATAAACAAAATAAATGTGAATTTAAAGTACCAACTATTATAGTACGATATAATAAAAAAAGAAATGTGGTGTCGTGGGACACCAGGTAGGAACGAAGTTCCTTCGGCTAATGTAGAATCGACACAATTTGCAAAAAAAAAAACATGCTCAATTTTATCTAGGTTTTCTTGATTTTTCTCTTAAATTTTGCTGATTAGTTTTTATTTAAGTACAGGAAAATATTTAGGAAATTCAGTATTTTAGGAAATAATAAATTACGTAAAATAGGTAGAATTATCAATATATATATATATATATATATATTTAAATGTTTGGAATTGAAGGGAGAATTTGTTTTAATTATTTAAAAAAATAATCAATAAACTTTTTAAATATTGTCACTAGTTTAGAGGATATCTTTGCTTTATATCGTAACTTTCTTGCTTATTTTCATTTTTTTTAGCTTTTTCGCGTTCCCTATACGCTTTTTGATACTCTGCTTTGCCATTGTTACTATATTTATTATTGTTTTGACGATTTGAAATTGTATGAAAATAAACGTGGCTACTCACGAGTAAAATGTATCTATAATGTGCGTATTCGCCACGTGCGTGTCCATGAATTCATGAGTATATACTATGCATTGGCGGGTGGAGTGGTAATAGAGAGAGAAGGGATGAGAGAACGAAAAGTGTTTAGGACATTTTTTATATTTTGTCGGTGCGGTCTCCACGTGTTGGCGGTGTCTTTGTAAGGCAGCTGCACGTGTGCGGACCTTCAATCTTGTGTGGCGGCATAATAACACGTCGGTAAGCAGAGTACAAATAAGTCGTTTCGTGGTGTAGTGGTCAGCATACCTGGCCGGAGAGCAAGGAAACGTGGGTTCGAATCCCACCGAGGCACAACATTTTTTCTCTGCTTACCTACACTTGTAAGGCGGCCGCCGTCTGAAGTGCGGCTCGCACCACCTCTGGTCGCGCCTGCGCACGTATCATTTAACGGTTTTATTCCACGGAGTTTCCGTTACGGTTTTAGGATCACATTTGTTTCAGTTCGGTCGTGCAGCAAAATTCCTATCTCCTCCAAGCCTGCCGTAAGGAACTTCGTTCCAAAAAAACTCGTCTAGTCATCCATGGATTTTTTTTTTCTAAATTGTGGTGGCAATAGTGTGGTTTTCCATTAAGCGACACTATTTTGAGTATTTACTTTAGTGCTATTCTTGTTTATGTTGTTTTAATTAAATAATTTGGGAACGTTTGCAGGTTCGTTTATTATAACGTACACAAAGTACATAACCTCAAATTAAAAACTGTCATTGTGACAAACAGCGCAGGTAGTGCCAACATATATATATTTTTAAAGAATTCCATGGCCCTCTAGACGAGGTTTTTTCTCGATAATACGGTATTAAAGATAACATTTTGCGTTTGTGATAATCCACTCAATATGTATATTTTTTTCTAGATACGACGATGGGTTCCCGGCGCCGTTGCCCTCACCGGCATCGTCGATCACACCATCGCCGCCCTCATCAAAGTCTTCGATGAATTAAATTTATATTATGTAACTAAAAATAAATAATTAAGTAAAGTTTGTTGGAATTTTATAATTATTTATTATAGGAACCACCATGAAGACTTTGCCTGAATTTGTTTGGCCAAAATCATATTCATATGTGTGCTGAAGTGGCCTAACAAAAAAACAGTAAAAAGGCGAATTGTAACTTTTAACAAAGGTACGATGTGTTCTGAAAGGGTTTACCAGTAAAAAAGTCTTTAATACAGGGCAAGATTTCTAATTTTGAGTGTTTTTGAAAGGAAAATTTGTTTAGACAAAATCGTATTCAATTGTGCTGAAATGTCCCAACAGAAAAACAAGGGAAAAAGACGAATTTTAAGTGTTTTTAAATGGTAACTTTTTTGGCCGAAACCGTATTCACGTTTGATAAAACAGAATATATTTCTTAAAATTTTGACTTTTTAGAAAAGGGTGATTTTGAAAAACCGGGCAATTTCTTTAAAAAAATTTAACTTTTTAAAAGTTACTCTGAAAACCAGGCTAAAAGCATTAAAAACGTGTTGTGTTCTAAAGGGGCCTTACTAGTAGTTCAAACCACCAAATCCTCAAATCGTCTGATACTAAAAATCCTCAAATTACCAAATCCTTTAAATCTCCGAAAGTCTCAACTCCTTAAAATCTCCAAATCAAAACACTCAAAAGTTCAGAACAGAAAATCCTCAATCCCTTAAAACCTTCAAATCACCAAATCCTCGAACAACAAAATCTTCGTATCCTCAAAATCTACAAATTCTTAAATTCCCAAATCGGCAAATTACGAACTCCTCAAAACAAAATCGTCAAATCCCCAAAACTCTCAAATCACAAGATCTTCAAATCTCCAAAATCCCCAAATCAGTAAATCATCAAAATTCGCAAATCACCAAATCCTGAAATTTGTCAAATTAGCAAACTCTTAAAATCCCCAAAACCCTTTCAGATCCTCATATCTTCAAAATCCGTAAATCTCCAAATGTTCAAAACAGCAAATCCTCAAGATCATCAAATTCTCAAAATCCTCAAATCAGCAAATCATCAAAATCTTCAAATCACTAAATCGTCAAAAATCTCAGATTCTTAAGTCATCAATTCCGCACAATACTCAAACTACCAAATTCTCACATCAAATCATCAAAATCCTCGGATCCTCAAATCGTCAAATCCTCAAATCACCAAAGGATTTGGTATTTTGGGGATTGTGTGTTTTGAGGATTTGAGGATTTTAAATCAAAAACTTGGAAAATCTAAAATTTACAAAGTCCAAAACTTGAAAAATCGAAAAATTGGAAAATCAAAAAATCGAAAAATCAAAAGCAGAGATCGAAAAATCTAAAAATTGAGAAATCGAAAAGTCGAGAAATCGGAACATCGAAAAATCAGTCTAAAAGTCGAAAAATCGAAAAAGGGAGACATAGAAACAGGGAAAAATCAAATAATCAAAACCTTATTATTATATAAAACATCGAAAAGTCAAATAATCGAGACATAGAAAAATCGAATAATCGCGACATCGAAAAATCGAGAATTAGAAAAATTGAAAATTTAATTTAATCGAAAAACGAGAAATCGAAAAGTTGAAACTTTGAAAAGCCGAGAAATCGAAAAATCAATCGGAAAGTCCAAAAATCGAAAATTTAATTCAATCGAAGAATCGAAATATTGAATAATCGAAAAAATCATAAATCGAGAGATCGAAAAACTAAGAAATCGAAATGTCGAAAAATCCAGAAATCGAGATATCTTAAAGTCGTAAAGTCGAAACACTGAAAATCCAACAAAATCGAAAAAATTTAAACATCGAAAAATTGGAAAATCGAGAAATTGACATATTATCAAAAAATTGAAAAATAAAAAATTTGAAAAATCAAAATTTCGAAAAGTCAAAAAATGGAGAAATCAAAATGTCGAAAAATGGTGAAATCGAAAAATTCAAAAATGGAATAATTGAAAAATTAAAAAATCCAGAAATCGAGACATCGAAAATTCGTACTCGAGAAATCGAAACATTGAAAATTCGAGAAATCGGTTGCAATCATCGAAAAATCCGCAAATCGAGAAATCCAAATATTGAAAAGGAAAATAGAAGAGTTGAGAAATCGATATCGAAAAATTGAGAAACCGATATTGAAAAACCGAAAATTCGGAGAATCGAAAATTTAATTTAATCGCAACATCGACACTCGAAAAATTCAAATAAAGAGAAGTCAAAAAATCGAGATTTGTTAAACTGAAGAATTAAAATATCCAAAAATAGGAAATCGAAAAATCACAAAAACAGAAAATTGAGAAATCAAAAGAACAAGAACGAAAAATTGGGAGAAATAGAAAAATCTAAAATCTAAAAAGTGAAAAACTGGAAAATCAAAAATCGAGAAATTGAAAAATTGGAAAATCGAAAAGTTGCAAAATCGTGAAATCGAAATATCGAACACTCCGAGAAATTGAGATATCGAATAATCGAATAATTGGAAAATGAAAAAGTCGACAAATTGAGAAATTCAAAAGTTGGAAAATCGAATCGTCGAAAAGTGGAAAAATTGAAAATTTAATTTGATCGAAAAATTGAAACGTTGAAAAATGGAGAAATCGAAAAATTAAAAAATCGAAAAACCGAAACAGCAAAAAAATCGAAAAATTGAAAAACCCAAAATTTTAAAAACTGAAAAATTGAAGTCAAGAACACGATAAATTGAAATTTTCCAAAGCTGAAATATAGAAAAAATAAAAAATCGATAAACCTAGTTATGAAATAACTAGATCATCAAATTCTCAAAATCCTCAAATCAACAAATCATCAAAATCTTCAAGTCACAAAATTGTCAAAAATCTCAGATTCTTAAGTCATTAATTCCGCACAATACTCAAACTACCAAATCCCCACATCAAAGCATCAAAATCCTCGGATCCTCAAATCACCAAATCCTTAAAGTCTTCGAAACCCTCAACTCGTCAAAATCTGCAAATCACCAAATCCTCGAAATTCTCAAATTCTCCAATTATTCAAATTCTTAAAATCCGCATATCTTCGAAACCCAAATTAGCAAATCATCAAAATCTTCAAATCATGAAATCGTCAAAAATCTCAGATTATCAAATCATTAGTTCCTTCCTCCATGTTTTGAATGCACATAAAAATGTATGTATGGTTGCCTATCGTGAAAATATTTGAGGTTATGTTTATAACTTTAAAAAATATTTAAAAACACATCACACATAGAAACCCCATATTTTACTCTATTTAAACCTCCAGCTCACCGTGCAGTCACTACTTCTTCCACTACATGACCCACTTGTAAGTCGATTTCAACATAACCTCAAACCCGTAACGCAACAGGAATGATAGGATGGACACCAAATGTTGTGTTTGTCTCAACTGTGTCGACACTCTTCAAAAAATCGCGTCGTGGGACTCACTAATAACCAAACTGCAGGACCTAGTCCCGGAAGAGGTAACCCCCATCCCGAAACTTCCACTTTCGCTAATATAACCCCCATTTACAGGAATGGTGCGACGACTACAACATCTGCCACTTGTGTACAACCGAACTAGAACGGGCCTACGAGTTTCGACAACTATGCATCCGGTACACCCTCGAGCGCAAAAGCGCCCTCCTCCCCAAGCCTGTCGAAATCTTCTCGTGTTACCACTGCAGCTCCACCTTCACCGACAAGCAAATCCTAGCGGAGCACATCTACACCCACCAAGAAGACCGCAAACCCCCTGAAGTCCCCAAATCCCTCTACACGAAGAAGTGTAAATTGAAAGCCCCCAACAAAAAAACGCGCTCGTTTTCGTGCGAAGTGTGCGACGTGGTCATGCCCCAAGCCAAACAAATCGTCGAACACTGCTTCAGCGAACACTCCATCGCGAAAAAGGTCGTGAAGCCCTACAAGTGCGACGAGTGCGTGATGCGGTTCACCTCGTCGGCGAACTTAATCCAGCACAAGAAGTACCACGACGGCAGCCGCTCCCACATTTGTAGCATCTGCGGTAAATCGTACATCACCAAGAGTGACCTCACCGTACACGAATACACCCATTTTAATAGGAGGAATTATAAGTGCGATGTCTGTGTTAAAGCCTTCAACACGAATAAAAATCTCCGCTCGCATATGCTAGTGGTGCACACGGACCCCGGGTTGTGGAAGTACGGCTGCGACGTGTGCAGTCGTCGGTTCCCCCTAAAATCCGGCTACGAGCAACACATGAAGAGACACACCGGAGACAAGCAGTTCGTGTGCCACATTTGCGAGAAGTCGTTTGTTAGTCGCAGCGAGCTACAAAAACACATGAGATATCACTCCCAAGTGAAGCCCTTCAGGTGTGACCACTGTGATAAATCGTACAAAGACAAGAGACTGCTTGATATACATTTAGCGAAGAGTCACGGGATAGGAAATGCGAAAGTGCCGGTTAGGGAGAGAAAGTATGCGTGTGACGCTTGTCCTAGTAGTTTTTCGGAGAAGCAAAAGCTGGAGAGACACGCACAGACCCATGCGGGGGTCAAGCCTTTCGTGTGTCTCCAGTGTGATAAAAAGTACTCAGATAAGTATTATTTCAAGCAGCACATGAAAAGTGTGCACAATTTAGGTGAAGAGGGGCACGGTTTTGGAAGAATTAGCGCCTTATGAAAGTGAGGTTATGTCGAGATACGATTTAATTATTAGTGAAAATGAGGGTTTTGTGCATTAAATACAAGACTATGCAGTCGTTACACCACCTGTGGCCAGAAATCGGTTTTTATTTACACGATTTTCCTATTTTGTTTAATTTAGGATTACAGATTTTGTTAAGTGTGGTTATGTTTGAAGGAAATTCACTCTCACTCGTTTACATTGTAATTATATAGTGATAAAATACTCGAATTGTATATAAATAAACTCGTACTGATAACGTACGGTCAAAGTTTGGCTTTTATTTACAAACATCACGAATTTTATTAAGTGAGGTTATGTGTACTGATACAGATTTTAAAACTTAAATGATGCTAAAACTGGTTCAAAACATGTTGTTGTACACCGTTTTGGCCCTCAAGTAGTGGCAATTATTACTCATTTGTGATTTTACCGACAAAAGAAATTTTCAAGAGTGAGGTTTATATTTTGTTAAGTGAGGTTATGTTTACAGGAAATTCACTCGCTTACTTTCTAATTAATAATTATATAGTGATAAAATACTTGAAATGGGCCCAAATAGGCTCGTATTGATGATGTAGAGTCAAAGTTTGGCTTTTATTTACAAACAACACGAATTTTGTTAAGTGAGGTTATGTTTACTGATGCAAATTTAAAAGCTAAATTGATGTTAAAACGGATTCAAAACAAGTTGTTGAGCACTAGTTTGGCTCTCAAGTAGTGGCGATGACTACTCATTTCTGATTTTATAAAAATAAGAAATTTTGAAAAGTGAGGTTATGTTGATTATCACCAAATCCTCAAATCGTTAAAATCCTCAAGCAAGGAATCATTGAAAATACTCATATGCTCAGAACAGAAAATTCTCAATCTCTCAAAACACCAGATATTCCAAATATTCAAATCTTTAAAATCCTCATACCTTCAAAATCCTCAAACTCCCGCAAATCAAATCTTCAAACCCGCAAAAAACAAAACCTGAAGTCTTCATATTACTAAAATCTTCGAATCTCCGAAACTTTGAGATTACTAAATTTTCAAAATCCTCAAATGCCCTCAAAATCCGCAAATCAAATCCTCAAAATCTCAAATTCTTCAAATCCCAAAACACTGAGATTAACAAATCTACAAAACTTCAAGTCCTTAAATCACCAAATTTTCAAATCCTCAAATCACAAATCCTTAAAACACCAGACCGTCAAAATCTCAAATCACCAAATCCTCAAAATCGTCAAAATTCTCAAAAATATCAGATTCTCAAGTCATTAAATCGGAAAAATACTCAAATTACCAAATTCTCAAAATTTTCAAAATCACCAAATCCTCCAAATATTCAAATCCTCATTTTCAAAATCCGCAAATCAAATCTTAAAAACCCCAAAACACAAAATCCTCAAAATCTCAAAAGCATCAAATCACCAAATCTCCAAATCCTCAAATCTTCAAAGTCTTCAAATCGCCAAATCCTCAAAATCGACAAAAATCTAGATCCTCAAGTCATTAAAATTTTCAAGACGCCAAATCCTCACAACATTGAATCTTCAAAATCCTAAAATACTCCAAATATTCAAATCCTTAAAATTCTCATATCTTCAACATCCTCAAATTTGCAAGTCAAATTTTCAAATCCGCAAACACAAAATCCCCAAATCCCTAAATTTTCAAATCCTGAAATCTTTATATTACTAAAATCCTAAAAATCCCAAATGCTCAAATACCTCAAATCTCAAAACCATGAGATTACCAAATCTGCAAAATTTCAAGTCCTTAAAATCCTCAAATCCTTGAAATTCTCAAATCCTCCAAATATCAAGTCCCTAAAATCCGCAAATCACCAAATTTTCAAATCCTCAAATCACAAATCATTAAAACACCAGACCCTCAAAATTTCAAATCACCAAATCCTCAAAATCGTCAAAATTCTCAAAAATTCAGATTCTCAAATCATTAAATCGGCAAAATATTTGAATCACCAAATCCTCAAAATCGTCAAAATTCTCAAAAATTTCAGACTCTCAAATCATTAAATCGGCAAAATATTCGAATCACCAAATCCTCAAAATTTTCAAAACGTCAAATCCTCACATCAAATCTTCAAAATCCTCGGATTCTTAAATCGTTAAATCCTAAAAATCCTCGAACCACCAAATCCTTCAAATCCACAAAACCCTCGAATCCTCAAAATCCCCAAATTCTCAGCTCCTCAAAACGCCAATTCATCAAATCGTCAAATCCTCAAAATTTTTAAATTATCAAGTGTTCAAATTCTTAAATACTCAAAATCAAAACACCCAATTCTCAAATACTCAAAAACCCTCAAATCCTTAAAATCCTCAAATCACGAAATTCTAAAAATCCTGAAATTGTTATAAAAAATAAAAAAATCTTAAATCGTTGAAGGAGTTCACGAAATTTGAAGAGTCAAATCACCAAATCCTCAAACTTTCAATTCCTCAAAATTCTAAAATGATCAAATCATTGAAATCCCCAAAATCCGAAAATCACCAAATTCTCAAAACACCAAATTCTCAAAATATTCAAATTCTCAAAATACGCGAATTTCCAAAACACCAATTCATCAAATCGTCAAATCCTCAAAATCTTTAAATTATCAAATGTTCAAATTCTTAAATACTCAAAATCAAAACACCCAATTCTCAAATGCTCAAAAACCCTCAAATCCTTAAAATCCACAAATCACGAAATTCTAAAAATCCTGAAATTGTTATAAAAAATAAAAAAATCTTAAATCGTTGAAGGAGTTCACGAAATTTGAAGAGTCAAATCACCAAATCCTCAAATTTTCAATTCCTCAAAATTCTAAAATGATCAAATCATTGAAACCCTCAAAATCCGAAAATCACCAAATTCTCAAAACACCAAATTCTCAAAATATTCAAATTCTCAAAATACTCAAATTTCCAAAACACCAATTCATCAAATCGTCAAATCCTCAAAATCTTTAAATTATCAAATGTTCAAATTCTTAAATACTCAAAATCCTCAAAACACCCAATTCTCAACTCCTCAAATCCTCAAAATTTGTGGATCACCAAATCCTCAAAACACCAAATCCTAAATCCTTGAAATCTCCAAAACCCTCAAATCAACGAACCTTCAAATTTTAAAATACTCAAAGTCCGAGGATCACCAAATCCCCAAAATTTTCAAAACGCCAAATCCTCAAAACCCTAAAATTCTCAAAATCTGCAAATCACTAGATGTTCAAAACACCAAATTCTCAAAATCATCAAATTCTCAAAAATCTCAAATCCTCAACTCATTAAAAGACGAGTGCAAATTTCTTTGTAAATTTTTGCATAATAAAGCATATTATTATTATCATTAAATCCGCAAAATACTCAAATCCTCACAACATCAAATCTTCAAAATTCTCGGATCCTCAAATCACTAAATTTTGAAAATCCTCAAATTACTATAAAAATACTCTCAAAATACTTAAATCCTCAAAATGTTCATATCCTTGAAGCTCCAAATCCTCAAAAAGTATTCCTCAAGTATTCAATTACTCATTTTCAAATCACTAAATCCTCAAAATACCAAATTATAAATCCTTGAAATTCTCACAACCCTCAAATCACCAAATCCCCAAAACCCTTAAATTATCAAATGTTCAAATCCTCATCCTCAAAATTCTCAAATTACCAAATCCTCAGATCTCCAAAATACCAATTCTTCAAAATCATTAAATTGTCGAAACCCTCAAATCACTAAATTTTCAAATCTTCAAAATGCCCAATCATCAAAATCATCAAAACATCAAATCCTCAAAATCTTCAAAAATCTCAGATCCTAAAATCATTAAATCTGCAAAATACTAAAATCACCAAATCCTCACAACATCATATCTTCAAAATTTTCGGATCCTCAAATCGCAAAATCCTCAAATCACCAAATCCTTAAAATCCCCAAAACCCTCAAATCCCCTAAACTCTAACATTACCAAATCTTCAAAATCCTCAAATCCCCAAAAACCTCAAGCCCTCAAAATCCGCAAGTCAAATATTCAAATCCTCAACTACAAATCCGTAAACCACCAGATCTTCAAAACACCAAATCCTCAAGATTATCAAATTCTCAAAAGCCTCAAATCGCCAAAATTTTCAAATCCTCAAATCTTCAAAATCCCCAATCAGCAAATCACGAAATCCTCAAAATCGTCAAAATTCTCAGAAATGGCAGTTCCTCAAATTATTAAATCCGCAAAATCCCCAAAATTTTCATAACGCGAAATCCTCACAACATCAAATCTTCAAAATCCCCGGATCTGCAAATCACCGAATTCTTCAAATCCCCAAAACCCTTAAATCCTCAAAATCTGCAAATTACCAAATCCAAGTAAATATTCGAATCCTTAAAATCCCCATCTTCAAAACCTCAAATCCGCAAATCAAATCTTCAAATCCTCAAAACAAATCTTTAAAACACCACACACCAGACCCTCAAATTCTTCAAATCACCAAATCTTCAAAATTTCAATTCTTCATTATTTTAAAAACACCAAATGCTCAATCATCAAAATCTCTAAATTATCAAATGTTCAAATCCTCAAATACTCAAAATCCACAAATTACCAAATTCTAAAAATACTCAAATTACTATATTCTCAAAATAATCAAATCCTGAAAATCCACACAACCTATCACGGCTTCTCGAAGGTTTTTCCTTGAAGGGGGAGAAAGGCGGGAAATTTCCGCCATAAAGGCTATGATGAAAAAGGGCTAACTATTTCAAATTTGACACATAGTTCAACTTCCGCTGCTTTGCTCCTGCGTACAACCTCTGTCAAGTTTTTGACCAATTACCCTCGCTCTTTCATCTCCTAATTACCATTCAATCACTTTACAACCACTCTCCTTCATCATGTCGAACCCCCTCGACCTCGAGAAAAAGATCCGAAAAATCAGGGACCACGTGAACGAGTACCCCGATTTCCCCAAACCTGGCGTCCTCTTCAGGTAAGCACCCCCCAGATCTACTACTACACATAGTTTAGAGACGTATTCTCAGTGTTCCAAAACGCAGAACTCGTAGCGATGCTCCGGGAAGTTCTCATCGCGTTCGCTACGCAAATCCAACCGCCTGTCGAATGTGTCGTGGGGATAGACGCCCGGGGTTTCCTGCTGGCACCGTTCATTGCGTTGGAATTAGAAGTGCCTTTCGTGCCTGTTCGTAAAAAGGGTAAACTGCCAGGGAAAGTGGCTTCAGTTTCGTATGCTCTGGAATATGGAGAGGTATGGTGTGATGTGATAGAGACAACGTGTTTATTTTGTGCTTTAAGGCAAACATGGAAATTCAAGAAAGTAGCATAAAGGAGGGACAGAGGGTTTTGATTGTTGATGATTTATTGGCAACAGGTGGGAGTCTGGGGGCTGCTTGTACGTTAGTTAAGAAGTTAGGAGGGGTGGTTGAGGCCTGTTTGGTTCTGATGGAGCTATCAGAACTAAAGGGGAGGCTGAATGTTCCAACAAATGTGATTTCGATAATCAAGTACTGAGGATAAATAGCACATCTAAGATTTTGGTGCAAATTCCATGAAAACATTCCCAAGGATTTGTGTATTTTTATAAATAAAATATTTTTATACATAATTTATACATTAAATGTGCACGACTCAGTCTGCGTCTTTTTTTAATTTAAGTTCTAAAAAGAAAAGAAAAGTAGTGTTAAAAAATTTTGATTTAAGTTTAAAGCTTAAATTAAAAATTCTAGTAGGGCAGAGCGTTCCGAAACCAGCTATGTATTACTGGTTGCCTTCTTACAGGCGCGCTTTACCGTACATGAAGAGGCGAAGGAGAGAAGAAATGTGACTTATCACGGAATTCAAAACTCAACCGTGACAGTACGGTGAAAGTTTGGCTTTTATTTACAAACACCACATATTTTATTAAGTGAGGTTATGTTTACAGCAAATTCACTCGTTTATTTTGCTATTATATAATGATAAAATACTCGAAATGAGCCCAAATAGACTCGTACTGATGACGTAGGGTCAAACAAGGGTCAAAGTTTGACTTTTATGTACAAACAACACGAATTTTATTAAGTGAGGTTATGTGTACTGATACGGATTTTTAAATTTAAAATGATGCTAAAACTGGTTCAAAACATGTTGTACACCGTTTTGGCCCTCAAGTAGTGGCAATTATTACTCCTTTGTGATTTTATGGAAATAAGAAATTTTGAAAAGTGAGGTTATGTTGATTATCACCAAATCCTCAAATCTTTAAAATCCCCAAGCAGGGAATCATCAAAATTTTCAAAAATCTCAGATCCTCAAATCATTAAATCCGCAAAATACTCTAATGCTCAGAACAGAAAATTCTCAATCCCTCAAAACACCAGATCTTCCAAATATTCAAATCTTTAAAATCCTCATACCTTCAAAATCTTCAAATCCGCAGATCTTCAAATCTTCATATTACTTAAATCCTGAAAACGCCAAATCCTCAAATTCTTTAAATCACCAAATATTCAGATCCTGAAATCTTCATATTACTAAAATCCTCGAAACCCCAAATGCTCAAATTCTTCAAATCCTCAAAAAAAACAAAACCTGAAGTCTTCATATTAGTAAAATCTTCAAATCCCCGAAACTTTGAGATTACCAAATTTTCAAAATCCTCAAATGCCCGTAAACCTCAGACCACAGCATAGATAACAATCAGTAGGGACAGCTCGTGTCGGCGCCTTTGTTCTTTCTGAGTTTTCTGACCCGAATTTTAAGCCGTCATGGATGGTCGTTGCCTAAACTATTCCTAGATGTCGCCACCCAATTTAAAAAGTATCACTTCATTTAAAATTTCAAAAATTGATTCGTGTACGCAATATTGCAAACTGTGTAGTTTGCTCAAATCGTATAATCATGAATCGCAATAAGAAAAAAAAGTCGATATTTAAATTATAAACACGATGATTTGTTACAGTTTTTATTTTATTACTTATACAGTCATAAATGTTAATCCGGAAATGGTACACTTTGTAATGGACCGTAGGTAAAGGAGTATTTTATGAGGACTAAATATTTTTCGAGAATAGACTCTTTTAGTTATTAAAGAAAGTATCCATATTATTTATATATGTAGAAAGCTAAAAAAAAGTAGAGAAATAAACAGACAGGCATGATAATGTAATTATGGTAATTACTTTATACAAGAATAAATATAAAAATAAGAACAGCACCTGTTAAATTGTTTAATAATTTCAAAAATTTTACGAAAAAAACGCATTTTACCTAACAACTTAACCCGTAAGCGTAATATCATATAAAGTAAAATTTTTATTTAAAAAAAAATATTACAAAAAAAAAATACATATTTGTCGACTCGCATAAAGTGCAGGTAATTGGTATGGGTCGACGCAGGTAAGAATAATTAAGGAATTCATGAAACCGGAAGTCCATAGGGATTAAGCGAAAAAAGATATTTGACAAAATGTACGGCTTGGGTCATATTTACCCACGCGCGACTGCTTATGGGTTAAGCAACGTCTCAAAATAAAACTCAAGATTGTGTAGGTCAAAAAAAATATATATATACATGATGAATAAAAAAATTGTTTATTGAGTGAAGGTCTGCTTATATAATTTTTTGTTACGTGTAGTTTGTTTCTTATTACTTTTATATTTAATTTTACCACAACAACGGAATCATATATAATAAATTTTTTATATTTATTTCATAACCACCGTTGTTGTTCGTTTGCGACGACTTTTTAAACAAAAAGTGTGTTATGTTTACTATCTTTTCCAAGAATTCCAAACACGAGGGAGAGAATAAGGCAGGCGCACAACAGGGATCCTGTATGAAAATTCATCGGACGAAGATTTTACCTTTTATTGTGAAAATTACATTTTTATACTATTTGTACAATTCTACTGGAAAAGCAGTCTTAAACAAGCAAAACCGGCAAAAATATTGTAACAAAACTGCCAAATTTCAAATATTTTAGACTAAAGTCCCTAGATTACTAAAGTAACGCGAATAGGCGCCATTTTGGCTCAAATAAACAACCACCAACTTTGAAAATGAAGACAATAATTGCTGGTATAGTCAGTTATGACTACGAGAAATTACGAGTGTCTAACAATATGAATGTATTCTACGTGTTTTGGGTGCCTAAACTTTTATCTTAAAATAAAGTCAAGATTTCAAATTTTAATCATTCTATTTACACACTAACTAAAAACAAAATTAAAAATTAATTGACCATGTCAACAAGGTTTCGCATTGCAAGACTACGACTACTTTTATTGCTTTTATTTTTTGTCTCCAGACTTATTTTTTAAAGAAAAATGAAGCCTACACTTCAAAAAAAACGTTGTCATCTTGTGTATAATATTGTGACATGTAGGGATGCGTATTTTGAGATTTTTCAAACAGATGCTACCTAGATGTTCTAAATCCAACTTATTATAAATTAAGTACGCCTCATTCTCTCTAAAGATCAACTCGCAGCTATAAATGTATTTATAAAATTCAAGCGAAGGAAAAAGTAAAATGTTTTCTTTGAATTCCTTCAATTTTGTAAAAGCACTTAATTTTTCAATTGATTCCGAGTCTCTATTAGTTATCAGTTGTGTGAAACACTCACAATTGATATTTTTTATAAATTTGTGCAAAAGTGTAGAGCAAACACTTTGACACACTTGTTCACAAACGTCAGAATCAATTGTCAAACGGCCATTTTGGCTCAATTTGTGTCTGTCTTTGTCTAACACACGGGCCTAATGAATCGCGTGACTCAAAGTCATTTAATAGATAAGGTTGCCACATTGGGATGCCATATTGATACGTCACAAGGGGCTCTCAAATGGCGCGAAAATTGCCCGTTTTAAATACTCGAGTAACGCACTAAAAACGGAAACTTTTAATCAAGTGACCGCTTCTACTTCGCAAATTTCAATCCTCTGTAAAGAACAATTTAATAAACCTTAAGAAAAATGTTTTGCTGCCAGTAGAACTTGAAAATAACAAATGCGACACTATTAACTGATTTTTTTTATGCAAAAAAAAACTGAAAATCTGCATTTACTGGTTTACTTTTTTCTTTCTAGTAATATATCAAAACATTTCATTTTAGCTTAAACACAAATAAATTTAATTTAGGGCAAAATAGGGTTACACGAGTCGCAGTACCAACACCAAACGTCAGAATTAGCGGTACAGATCGTACAGATTAAAGGCATCAGCTAATCGGTCACACCAACTCAAAATTACAAGTTACTAAAAATTCCCAAGTAATACCAACCTCATTTTGACGTCACATGGGGCTGACACCTCTCCTCCCCCGTAAGCGATTTTGCCCACATACTCGTTTATGTGGTAACCTGTTCTCTATTAACTAACCTTGCGCGTTACTTTAGTAATCTAGGGACTTTATTTTAGACGTCAGTTGGGCGCCCTCATTCGGTCATAAAGCGAACGACCATCCACGAAAACGGGTCACGAAAAACGGCGAGCCGTCCCTACTGATTGTTATCTCTACTGTGCTCAGACCCTCAAAATCCGCAAATCAAATCCTCAAAACACTAAATCCCCAAAACCTAAAAATCCTCAAATCACCAAATCCTCGAAACTCTCAAATCCTTAAAATTCTCATATCTTCAACATCCTCAAATTCGCAAGTCAAATCTTCAAATCCGCAAACACAAAATCCTCAAGTGGGATAGCACGAAAGTACAAGCATATCTAGCACTTAACCTAGGCACATGAAAGTTGACATATTCCAGAAGCTGAGAACTATCCAGTTTGTTGTGTATCAATTTCCACATAAAACGAGCACCATGAAGCTTACGTCTGGCAGAGAGAGATTGTAATTCGTGAGTTTGCAATAAAGGATACGTACAGAGATTTTAAAACTTAGGAACTTCATAAACCGACTTGCACTCTCTCAAGAATAAGTTCATGCCGCAGATAACACGGCGACCAAACCACCGAAGCATACTCCAGTTTGCTCACAATGAACGCAAAGTAGAGCGATTTAATCAACTGTGGATTATCAAAGTACCTGGACACACGCATCAAAAAACCCAAGGATTTAAAAGCAGAAAGCGCCAGATTTTCAATATGTTCGACAAAACTGAATTCAGAGTCAAATAAAATGCCAAGATCTTTAACTTTATTCATTTTTAACAAACTTCGACCGTTTATCGTGTAGTGTGTAGGGAAATAATAGATTTTTCTTGTAAACGTTACATAAAAACATTTATCAATATTTAAATTTAAACGATTTAGTACACACCACTCACGAATTAAGTCAAGATTGTACTGCAAATGCTCTACATCATTACGACCAGCAATTGTTGTATAAATTTTTAGATCATCAGCATAGGCTAGTTTCTTGCAAGTAAGTGACGTGAGAAGATCATTAATGAAAATAATAAATAGTAGGAGTCCCAAATTGGAACCCTGAGGTACACCAGATGATGCTGTATACGGATTTGATCTATACCCATTATATAACACATAATTAACTCTGTTGCTTAGGTAAGATTGAATTAATTTCAAAAATCGTGGAGCCATGCCGAAAGAAGAGAGCTTATTGAGTAAAATACCATGATCAACGGTGTAACACGTGTATGCTTCCATATTTCAGGAAAAGCTCCTGTAGCAATTG